TGGGTAGAAAAGCCATATCCAGTCAGTTTAAGGCACCACAATAGCATTTTAAAAGTTCATGGAATCTCTTACCAAATGAACTAGCATTTCCTCACTGGATTTTTTTTTTTTTAAGTTTTCATTGTGAATTGAATGATAGGTCACATGGAAGAACATCAGTTTTACACTCATCCTATCGTATTTCATTTCATTGCAGCGATTACAATCCCCTCCATGCATCATCATTCAACAGAATTTATTTATATTCCCTCTGGTTTGTTGGTTTGTTTGTTTTTAGATATACACAAAAACACTCATGCATATATAATAATTTAAACCACCAAAGAGCACATTATTATGCAAGCCTGCCTCCTGGCTGCCAGCTCTCAGTCCCTCTCTTTCCATGACTCTAGAGTCCTCAGCTGCTCCCTCTCTCCATGTCCCCATCTCTGCCTCCATCTCTGGTGTCGCTGCTTCTCTGAATAAAGTCACACATTCCACTTATGTTCTTCTCCCTTGATGGTCAGTCCTAGGGTCCTCTGTTCCTGGACTTTATGATGAACTATCCCCTCCTCCCCCTTATGTTGCAAAACTTCTATCTTTACAGTTGGGACAGTCACAATTAGTCTTGAGAACAATGACTCACTATTGAATCATAGGAATCTTATCCCCAACTTGTTTCACCAGAACTCTGGATTGTATTTTTCAATGAAGACATAGTTCCTGCTACATCTCATAATCCCAATGTCATTGATTTTGACAGAAAAGGCATAGCTTATAGTGTTTATCCTTTCTGACAGGTGCTCATTACCATCACCATGGCATGATCTTCTTGCCCCCAGACACCCCCCAGTACAGGATGGCTTCTCCTTCCCTCCATCCCATATGCCTCTAGACCTCCACACCACAGAACCATGCTCAGAGAAACTTAGCTTGCAAACTTACCGGCTAAATGCATCATTGCATGTCACGTGGTGTCCCTGGTTGATGCAAATGCTCAGCTGCTCACCAAAAGGCTGGAGGTTCGAATCTACCCAGAGGTGCTTCGAAAGAAATGCCTGGTGATCTACTTCTGAAAAAGTAGCTATTGAATACTCTGTGGAGCACCGTTCTCCACGCGGGATTGCCACGCATTGGAGTGGAGAGGATGGCAGCTGGATTTGTGTTTGATGATTGTAGGTTTCGTTTTCTGTCTGCTACTAGATGGAACCAAATAAACAATACTTCTGTCTGCCACCACTGGACCAATAAACAACATTCTTGTCAACGGAGAAAAGACTGAAGTTGTCAAGGACTTCATTCTTCTTGGATCCACTATCAACACTCATGGAAGCAGCAGTCAAGAGATCAAACGACGTATTGCATTAGGCAAATCTGCTACGCAAGATACCTTGGAATACTGCAGGAAGAAAAGGCAAATAAAATTTTTTAAAAAGTTTACAAAAAACTGTAAAAAAAAATACAGTTCTTTACATCATAATATTTTGATGCTGTATGAGTTTCCAGTGTCGGCTATGGCATGACCATGAAGTTAGTGTGTATAATAACACAGATTTGTTGTCTTAAGTCTCTGGAGACCAATCTTAGGCATGAGTGGATTCTGAATCATACAGGCTTTCTGAGACTGTAAATCTTTGCAGGAGCAGACAACCTCCTCTTCTGAGAAGCACTTGGAGAATTTGAACCTGGGACATTGTGCTTAACAACCAGATGCCTGAACCACTGAACCACCAAGGCTCTTTGCTTCTGGCTCAGATGAGCCTTGGGTGAGGTGGGCATCCCATTTCTTATGTCTTCATGTAGGGTTGTGACCTGATATTTATCAGTCATCAGGAAGCCATGAAGCAAACAATCCCAGGCAGCATCCCATAGATATCTGTCCAGGAGGTGGGTGTTTCAAAACCACCCAGAGGCAGCTAGGGAAGACAGGCTTGGCTATGTACATCTGAAAGATCACAGCCTTGAAAACCCTGTGGAGCTGAGTTCTGCCCTGCACAAATGGGAGTGCCAGAAATGGGAATCAACCAAGAGACACTAACAGCAACGCTTTAGACATGTTCTCATCTATAGACTATGACCTCATCTATAGACTATGACCTCATCTATAGACTATGACCTCATCTATAGACTATGACCTCATCTACAGACTATGTCTTCATTTAGACCCTAGAATTCCAGTACACTCAGGCTCATAGAGTCCTGTGTGTGTCAGAGTAGAACTGTGCCCCACAGGGTTCTCAGTGGATGATTTTTCATAAGTAGATCCCACTCATGGTGCCCTGTGTGTGTCAGAGTAGAACTGTGCCCCACAGGGTTCTCAGTGGGTGATTTTTCATAAGTAGATTCCACTCATGGTGCCCTGTGTGTGTCAAAGTAGAATTGTGCTCCACAGGGTTCTCATTGGATGATGTTTCATAAGTAGATCCCACTCATGGCACCCTGTGTGTGTCAGAGTAGAACTGTGCCCACAGGGTTCTCAGTGGATGATTTTTCATAAGTAGATCCCACTCATGGTGTCCCGTGTGTGTTAGAGTAGAACTGTGCCCCACAGGGTTCTCAGTGGATGATTTTTCATAAGTAGATCCCACTCATGGTGCC